GAGTTTCACATTCTCCACCAGCCCCCTCCTTGTTGGTGAGAACAAGGTCCAGCATAGCATCTCTACTTGTTGGTTCCTCTATCACTTGGAGAAGGAAGTTATCATCAACGCATTCCACAAACCTCCTGGATTGCTTATGCCCTGCCGTGTTGTCCCTCCAACAGATATTGGGGTGGTTGAAGTCCCCCATGAGGACCAGGGCTTGTGAACATGAGGCTGCTCATATCTGTCTATAGAGAGCCTCAACCACTCGGTCTTCCTGGCCGGGTGGCCTGTAGCAGACCCCCACTATAATGTCACACCTGTCCCTGCCCTCCCTTTAATCCTGACCCATAAGCCCTTCGTCAGCTCCTCATCCATCCCCAGGCGGGGCTCCATGCACTCCAGCTGGTCATTGACATAGAGTCGTCTCCCCTGCCTGTCCTTCCTAAAGAGCCTGTATCCTTCCATTCCAACACTCCAGTCATAGGAGCCATCCCACCACGTCTCCATGATGCTGATAAGATCGTAGCCCTGCAGGCGTGCGCATGTCTCTAACTCCTCTTGTTTATTGCCTATGCTAGGTGTGTTTGCATAGAGACATTTAAGTTGGGCCCCCAATGAAGCTGACTTACTGGCTGGAGTGGCTGGAATTCCTTTGTGCTGCTCTTCAGGTGCTCTCCTGCTGACCTGTGATCCTTCTCCAGGTTCTGGGCATCTACTGCTGGCACTGGTATCAAACTGGGATGGATTGAGGTTCCCCTCTCCTGGCAACTTTAGTTTAAAGTCCTCTTCACCAGCTTTGCAAGCCTATGACCGAAGATGCTCTTCCCCTTCTCTGACAGATGGACCCCATCAGCCCCCAGTAGACCAGGTTTCTCAAAGCGAGTCCCATGGTCTAAGTAGCCGAACCCCTGGCTGTGGCACTAGGGGTTACTGGTTACTGTTCCCATAACCATTTGTTGATTTGCCAGATTCGACTGGCCCTTTCAAACCCCTTCCCTTTGACCAGGAGGATTGATGAAAAAACCACCTGTGCTCCAGAGCTCCTTACTGCTGCTCCAAGGGCTCTGTAATCCTTCTTGATACTCCTGTGCCGGTAACATTATTCTTCTTCAGGGAAAAAAAAAAAAAGAAGAATTTCAAGCAGTTAAGTGTCTTACCATAATCCTGTCACTGTCAATAATGGTATTCAAGCGGTGTGCAATGGTCAGCACTGTGCAGTGAGCAAACTTTTCACGGATCGTCTTTTGAATGAACTCATCTGTTCTGAAACACAGCAAGAGCAATGCAGACAAAAATAAGATGTTTGCATGGATAACTGAATGGCAGGTAGGTTTTATGACTTCATCAAACATGACTGTATAGCAGGAAATATGCTTATGAAATCATTACAGTGCTTCTTCCTCTCATTATATTAGATGACTTGGAGGCATATCATGAAACATACTCCAAAATCTATCCTCTAATACTTCAGGAGAGAAGAGTTTCTTCTTGCAAGTAGAGCAATAGGTTTCATTTCAGGAGACTAATTTCCCAGGCTTTGATTACAGAAAGGAAAATTCTGTAGAGTCAGATATTCCTACAGATTTCTACACCAAAAAAAAGTAATTGTTATTTTCTTTCAAGCTTTAGTTTATGCAAGCAGCAAAGAAAAGTTGGTGAAAGTAAATATCCTTCATTGCAAACCAACTGAAGAACGAACACAAGACAGCCTATAACTAAGGTTCTTGATTTCAACTGCAAAAGGGGATTAAATAAAGGAGGCAGTTGGTAAACTAAACTAGGACTGGAGTAGCTCAAGAACTTGAATACAGAAAAAAAAACCTTAGCATATTCCGTAAATCAAAAGTGTTAACTGGAACGCACAACCCAAGGAAAGGGATAAAAGTCTTCAAGAGCCTCAACCTACCGTATGAATTAACCACCTAAGAAAAGGGTATCAGGAGGAAACATAAGACTTGTAAAGAATGAAAACTAAGCTACAGCACAGACACTGAAGTACAGGGTTAAAGTGGTAACTGTCACAAATAAAGCTGAGAACCCTGAAAAGGAAATAAAATTATACCGAAAGATACATAAGACACTAAAATGTTCTTTAGCTGTATAAACAAGCATCAAGGCAAAAGGGGTACAATGCTCATAAAACTGGAGATTATTCAAGTAAATAACTGTTCAAGAGAAGCATTGACACCACCTAACTTAGAGCATACCAGTCAGGCTTAAACGTGGAAATCTATATAGTCCTCTCTATAGTCAATGAAAGGGGAAAGGCATGGCTGGAAGGTGAATCAGAGCACCTGAATTAGGCAGCCATCAGGTGATGAATGCCCTCTAGAGGCACCTGACAGCCCACATTGCACAAGAAGCCTTGGCTCCCAACCTGGGCACAAAGCCAGGCTATGTGAATACTCACATATTACCCATCAGCCTCCAAAAAAAAGATGAGTGGTGAAAATGGAGTAAAAGGTGCAGAAACTAAAATAGAAGGAAGACATGAACTCAAAATATACCAGGGTTAGTTGGACCAAGAAAGCTCCAGCCTAGAAGTCAGGCACTTGAAGGTATGGGTCTCATTTCCAGGATTTCTATTAAAACATGAAATTGTACTTTTACATATAATGACTGGAGAATAATAAATGCTGTAGATAGGGTTAAAACAAGAAAAAGGAAATATCTGGATAAACTGGTATATTTAGGCAGCCATGTTGACTTCAACCAGTTGCTTGCAAAGCCTTAATTCTTCAAATTGTTAAAAGTAACTGGAAAATCAAATAAAATACAACAAAGATTCCTGCAACACATGCCTTCCTCTGACAAATTATTATTTTTTAGACAGAAGTAGTACTCTACATTGAATCTGTCTGCACATGATAAATGTTTGGTATCACTTTATAAATTAAGCAAAAAGAATTGTTCTGATGCCACCATGTCAGGAGGCACTAACAATAAAGAGTGGACAAAGACAACTTTGGAAGAACAGGATGACTTAGAGGAATGGAGTAACCATTAAGTTTCCACCGTGGAAATCACAAGCTCATGCTCTGAAGGACTGAACATAACTTCTGTTACTAACTAAGTTTAAGCAATCAGCATGACAAAGAAATAGACAGATCCCTGCTGACGACAGGACGAATCCTCAGAGAGAAGGAAGACATAAACAGTTAAGTAAGAGTTCTGATGCACGCTGACTGTCACCTTCATCTGGGGACAGAACCATTGAAGCTCTGTCATGAGCTTAAGAGAACCAGGTTCTGGGCCGCAGTCTGAGAAGGCTTGGTCCTTCTGCTCCTACTTCCTAAAAGAAGCTTAAGGACATGGTGGGAAGCAGGTGTTCCTCAACTCCTCCTTTTGAACCAAGGCCAGTACGCAATGAGGGAAAGGGACAGGAAGGGAAGTCAGGACAGAGCCAGGCTCTTTAGCCCTGTGGGTTAACAGTCTCCTTAAGAAAAGAAAGTTGTTCACCATTAATGCCCGACATCACAACAATACCAGCGCTTTCACCCCAGTGTTAATGCCTGTATCTTTTTTTGCTATCTTCTCAGCAATGCCTCAATGACCTGACTACTCTTACTTTCAAAAGAAAAAAAACAGGGCCATAAATGAAAACACTCAGTAGGGAGGAGGCTTATATAGAGGGCAGGATCTGTTCTCTGCTATGGTTAGAGATAGCGAAACAGAAACAAAAGGTTCAGTACTCCCTAGAATAATGTAAAGAAAGCCTTTTTCTTTCCTTATAGTCAAGCTGAAGGTGAGGTTTCCTGCAGAGCTACTAAGAAGAACAGAGAATCATAGCTTGCTCAGGAATTTTGAAAACAAGGTTTTAAAGGGCTCAAAATGATTTGTAACTCTCAGATTATTCCTACTATTATCTGAGAAGAATGCCTCATCCTTGAACATCCCTGTCCTCTGCATTCATTATATCTTCCTTTATTACAAGCATTCCTTACAGTACCACCTCTTCCTACATTTACAATAGAAACCATTTCTCATTCTTAGATAGATACTATCAAACTATTATCTTAAACAGGTATTTCTTGAATATAAGCTTATCCCTAATGAGAAACTGCTGGTCATACTGCGGGTGTGACAAATGTTCTAAAATGAGACTACAAAGTAATCAGAAACAGACCTAATAGCTCCACCTTCAAATATCACAGAATGAAATCTCATGCAGCCATGTCCACTGATAGGGACTTGACCAGATTCTCTCTAAGGTTCATGGTAGATCTTGGAGTATAATTTTTGGGGTGGCAGGCAGAAGCATCATCAGTAACCTCCCAAGAATCTTGGGAAGAAGGTAGGAAAGGCAAGAAAATAAAAAAGACAATGAAAAGATCTGTGTACAGAATTACGTGCTGACAGAGTGCAGAGACTATAGCACATGCCAATTAGAGCCATCTATCCTCTAGAAAAGTGCCAAAGGAAGCAGCATTTCTGTCCTTTTTTCAGGGCATAAATGGACCTTAGTGGCACCCACCCACAATGAGAAAGTCGCCAGGCAGGTGCCGACTGATTCCATCACCCACCTCAGTGGATCAAACCCCATCATCTTTCAGGTACATTAGAAAGCAAAGATGCAACCTGAATACCAAACCAGGGCTGACGGATGACAAAAGCTCAACCCTAATCTGATTATATGAGAACGGGAACCACGATACTCCCCATTCACAAGGAACAGTACAATAAGAAAACACAAAACGGTGGTATAGCTGTCCCACCGGCACTGCGGGTTGAGGATCTAACACCAAGTTTCACAGCAAGCCAAGATCTGGTGTAACCTGAATTAGTTGACTGTGTAAAAAAAAAAAAAAAAAAACAACTATCTAAAGAGCAAGAATAAAAATGACCTGAATGAGAAGCAACAAAGTTGCTGAAAGGAACACTGGATAAGTCGTTATCTTCAGTCTAATGTCCTCCTGGGATTGTCCTGAGAGCGTATCTCACACTACACAATTCCTGAGTGGCTTTGGATAATTTTTCCAAAAGAGAAACAGTTACAGATAGCAGTTAGATGTAACGAAAGGTTAAACCTTACAAGGTTAAGCCAGCTAATGAACTGAACTATGAGCAATGGCTGTTTTTACCAGACTCAATGAACAACCAATGTAAAAATGTGGCAGTGGACTGGTCCCAAAAAGTTTTCTCCTCTATAAGCAGTAAAAATACGAGTTAATGCATAATACTGTAGTCAGTGTGCAGAAAGCTTAGTAAGCTCAACTTACTCAATATTTTAAAAAAGTCTCAGTTACTAAGGATTTTGTTTCAATATATCACCAAAGTGACTACAGAAAGATTTTCAGCTCTTCTGCTCCAGATTTCATACAACTTTCCAGAATGGTTCAACTGCTATAAAACGATTCCATTCGTTGGGGTAAGAATGTCAGCTTCAGGACCAAGATGACAAAATCAAATTAAACATCTGTCAGTCATCATGTAAAACATGCAAGTAGTCTGACTTAGGGCAACCCTTCTTTACGGAGAGCTCCTCCTCTCCCTCACGACAGTGCTGACACCCCTGCAGCATGCAGAGCAGCTGGTAGCTATGAGGAGCAAGGGGAATAATAAGGGTACATATGGAAGATGTAGAAGGACAGAGAAAGGTACACTCCAAACTCCTTCCCTTCAGTCCTTTGCTCAGCTTCACTCGGCAGCAGACAAGAATGGCCTAGCTGAGCTGGAGAAACATGGTGGGGAGTCCCTCAGCCCTGGGGAAGGTACACTGCACACCTCTCACCCCGCTGTTGTATCCACTGCCTCATGCCACCTCACCCTGCCTTCTCCTCCTCCCACTCCCAAGCCCTGCCTCCTCACATTTGCTTCCAGGTTGAACTGGAGCAGGGGCACGGTTGCAGCAGTGGTTGAGGCAAGGAGATCAAGAGCCAGAACAACAAAAAAAGAAATAATATCTCCAGAGCCGGCGGCAGCTCCCCACGGTTTCCTATCCCAGGTGCTTGATGCGATGTGTGCTTGCCGCCAGGCTAGAGACAAGGATGCCAGGTATGGGGGCTGTGCATCAGAAGAGGAGGAGGTTTTCCTTACATGCCAAAAATGCCTCCCTAACTGCTCAGTTAAGCAACCCACATCAGCATTTCCTGATGAGCGTCCTATCAGATTGCACAGCTGAAAAATACTCAGCTCTAGTTATAGCAACACATTAAGGAAAAGGTAATAATGACTGTAATGCAAACTGAATTCAAAGAAGAAGTTCCAAGTTATTATTTGTATTGTTATGCCTAGAGTTGATACAAACAAACATTTACCTTATTATAATATATATTGCAGCACACATTAATCAAGATCAATTAAATGGATAGTGTGAGTTGAGAACACACACATGTGAGATGCCAAAATAGGGAGGATGAGTAAGATGGTATTAAATTTCCAGCTATGATTAATCACAGTTCATCTATCAGAGCTCAGCCAAAAATAAACTAATAATCAAAAAAGAAAAAAAAAAAAAAGAAAAAAAAGAGAACCTCTGGGAAGGGAATGCACTGCTGTAAAGGTTTTAGAAATACACTGGCAGCTGAACTGCAAAGCTACCCTAGTGGCACCACTTCTCCCCCAAGAAGATGTTATAAAAATGAGTCACGCCCAGATGACATACAAAATCCTTAATGCATCTGTTTGAGGGACTTGCTGTGTTATTGTCCTCTTTGGACTTTGAGTTCTCCCTCAAGCCATAGTTTGTTGGAACTATATATTCAGCTCAGACTAATTGATGCAGTACGTTTGCAGTATTGTTTCCAAAATATTTCCACCAGCGTTTCAAATGTTTCAAAAATTAACAGTGGGGGTACTTAGCTATTGGAACAATTTAACAAGGGTTGTCATTGAATTTTTTTTCTATTGAGGTTGGACGTTCTTCTAGAAGTACACTCTAGTTCAAACAGGAATGAATTCAGGAAAGTTCTGACGGCCTAAGTTATACAAGACAAAATAATGAATGATAAATGAGTCCTTCCTGTAGCTTTAAACATCTCCAAATCTGTTTTGCAATTCCTGTGATGTTTAGGACAGCTTACCTTCCCCCCCACCCCTATTTTATCTGTAACTTATTACACTGGCATCTGAGCCATCTGAAGGGATAGCATCTCATAACCAGAAGTATCCGGTTTTGCTGATAGCCATTTTTCACCTTTCTAGCTTTGGATTTTTTTGAGGGGAGATCAATTAATTTTATTAATTTTTATTTATTTATTGCCAAGGGACATTTCTTCCAGAAATCAACAGAACTCAACTTGTTTCATGGCTATTCTGATGTGACTGATGTGCATTTCCAAGGAGGTTCTTGTCTTCTTGTCTATGGCTGCAGCACAAATAAACTTTGAATATTAATTTCCCTACTCTATGGAATGCACTGAAATTCAGGATATTTTGAGCGCTTAGTTTATATCAACTGCTCTGTAGCCAAAGCTCAACCGCCCCATTTTGAATAGACAATTATGATGCTATCATTAAAAACATAAAATAGCAATACAAACTACAAGAAATACAAAGCATTTAAGTTCATCTCTGCAGTACAAATGATCATATTAGAAGAAAAAACAGCTAATCTCAACATGACAGATTTTGTTTTTACCTTGGGTCCACATTTGCTGTTGCTTCATCAATGATAAGGATCCGATTTTTTTTTAGAACTGCTCTGGCAAGACACACCAGCTGTCTCTGACCAACGCTAAAATTAGACCCAGATTCTGCCAGCTGCGTCTCCATTTTATTAGGTAGATCTTCCACAACCTCCTTCAGTTGCACCTGTTGACATGTCAACATATTGTAGGATGAGTAACTCTCTTAAATCAGCTATTGTGTATCTGATGACACAACAATAAGTATGCAAGGTCTACCTTTTATATTCTGACACAAAATGGGTAAGTGCCAAGTTGGATTACACAGTGTGTCAGTTACTAGAATTCTAAAAACATTAAAGCACATTGTTAAGAATCTATTAATGTTCATTAAAACTAAGATATGAATCAAAACGTAACCAAAGCATCATCCCAAAGGATAATTTTTTCATAAAAGACTTATGTAACAATATACATGTCTACACACACATGCACAAACACACACATATACAAACGCGCACGCAACGGTCTACCTCTTTCCATCAACAGCTATGCCCTTATCAAACCTGATGAAAACATCTAAAACCTAACACACACAAGCACTGTAGTGTTATTTGGCTTGTAAATATCAGATGTATGTTATTAGATTTAATAAGTCACCTCTTCCAAGGCATTCCACAGCTCTTCATCGGTGTATTCATTGAAAGGATCTAAGTTTTTCCTCATAGTTCCAGTGAATAAAACAGGCTCCTAAAACCCAGTAAAATTAGCATTCCATTATAAACACAGGTTTTATATTGCAATAGGTAATTTAATAATAATCAGAACTAACCTATATCAACAATAGCACAGAAATATCCAACAACAAGCTATCTTTTATGAAATGCAAAGGAGTATTTCACAACAGCATGCTTAAGGGGGGCGGGGGGAGGCAAGTGTTCAACCAGTCTGTATGAAGGTAATTTACCAAACAGGACAGGTCTGTTTGCAAATTGCTGTACACAGTTATGTCGGTACTCAAATGGGCATTTACATGCCACTGTTTTGATGCCACAAGCTATATATGATTGCATGAAATCATTGCTATCCTCCTGCTATTGTTAATGAAAACCAGCAACTACCACTGTCAATGCGCTCACACTCCTAAATTATGTTTGGGCAGTTTTGAAAATTTGTTTTTGAAGTACATAAACCAGAGAGGAATCAAAGAGCTCACAATGCCTTTCTGGTTTTCGTTCTCTGTTTGGTTGTGGGATTTTTTTTTCATTTCATATCATAAAAGCCCTTCAATTTTACCATCAGAGCCTAAGAGGAACAGCTTTCACCTTTCAACACAATGTTTAAACCTATACACATAGAAGTTAATCTATACTGCCACAGCATCAAAGCAAACTTAGAACTGGAGCACTGCTAGGCAAAGCTCTAACTCAAAACACATCAGGGAGTCAAATCAGAACCTTCCCCCGTTCAGGTACCAATGTAGTCGAAGCAAGTTTTGTTCTACTTCAGTTCCCGGTCAGACCAATAACAGATCATTAATCAAACTGGCACAAATCAATTCACACTGGAAAGTGCAGTGTTTGAGAAGCAGGAAGATGACTTTTGGTCCAGAACTCCTTAAGCAACAGATCAGTACTCACTGATGTGAGTTGTCAGACCTGAGAGTCATGCACTGACATGACTTTAGGGCTAAACTCTTCTTAATACCACACAACGACGACAACAACAACAAGTCAAAAGCTGTAGTAGTGCTAATCATAAATGGAGACCATTCATCATGTTGTCAGTCTTCTTTAAATTGGAGAAACCTTATGCAAAACGTTTTCTTTTTTTCTCCCCTAGGAAATAAAGTGTAACTTACATTGGATAACTTCAGCTTACTCCGAGATTAACCTCTGTCGTGACTGTCATGCCCCATCTAACCCCAGTGATGCCCAGCTCCAAAGGGCTGCAGCAAATCAGAACAGAATTTAGACCTTAACCCTTTTATTGTGTCTTCATTTCTAAACTACTCTGAGCGGTATAAAAGGATTAACAAAAACAGAACACGCCACAAGCAATGTAAAAGAACGTATGCATTTCTTGACGTAATGTGCCAATTATTTGAAAGTATCTGTTGCATTAGCAACATGTCACTAAAAACCTGTTGAATGAACAAAAGGATTTAAAAAAACCACATTAACAGGTTAAAGAATATTTTTCTTCAAAAACACCTAGAAAGTAATCTGTTTAACAGTACATATTTTAATACACCATTTGGTGTTTTGAAGGTATTGTTACATTTATTTTCCTTTTCAATCCATTTTTATAGGTTGGCAAAACAAGAGGCTGAATTTATAAAGTGTTCGTAACTATTATGAAAGTCCTAACAACAGACACGTACTGCAACAGAAGATAAGAATATTTTTTAATTATCATTTCTGACACAGATTATTATTTAAAATAGTCTGGTTTATGAGAGGAAAGTAATAAGACAAACCTGTAAATAATTGTTGTAAAAATGCTTGCAGTCAAGGAGGCAGACAACATTTGCATAGAAAAGATTTACAAACACAACCTCCACACAGCTCCATCCAAGCAAGCAATTAGAAGCCTAAGCACATTTTTATTTCTCCAGGTAGGTATTTAAACTTACATATAAGAAAACTTCAGTCTTGCCTCATCACTCTCTAGGAATGGTTCTGTTTAGCATGTTTTACGTTATAATTTTAATAAGCATCTCTCCCTCCGGTTTCTTAGCTTCCCACATAATTAAGAAGATATTTGCTGCAAAATAACTACCTGATGTTACATTACTATTTCTATTATTGACACAACTATTAATGCAGTTCAAGACAATGCCTATTACTCAGTTTACTATAGTATAAACCTTATTCCAGACCATCCTCCTCTTCTTTCTACCACCACTTCATAGTTTTTAGTGGAAACACGTCTTCCCTTATGTGGAAAAGAAATCCTACTTGCTAGCCTTTGGACACTTAAAACCCTTTGGGACCATGATGAAAACCCTATCATAGGAACTTGGTAAAAGTCACAGAATTCAACTGGATTAAAATAGTTTTACAACCATGTCAATAGACCAATGTATGAAAAAACCCCATGTATAATTAAATGCAGTGAACTTTGAGCATCTGCATCACTCAACATATAGAAACTGTATTTGAACAGCAGTTCTCCTGTCTCAGTATTCTATTTTATTCAACTGGGTTGAATTCTTCCAAACGTAGAAATCACCCGCAATAGCTACGGGCAAGGCTTTCAAAAAGTTGTAGACCTTGAATGAACTGATGATCATCTACTTTCAGGAGAAAAGAATGCTGCACACAAACAAAAAAATAGAACTTAAATCCACATAAAGTCCTCTTTGCACACAAAAGATGACTAGTTCCAGTGAGTACCTCCACTGTGCAATAACAAAGCCTTCAGTATGCAGAAACAAAAGACATCCTGCATTAGGCAACAATCCAATTGCTGGGGGAGTACCTCTTTTTTTTTTTTTTTTGATAATAGCATACCTGCTTCTTTTCTCTGACTCCTACACTTGGGAAAGGAAAAAAAAAGCAGGTAATCAAGAGAGGCTTAGAACCACTGTTCATTACCATTTTTATCAGATTCTCAATTTAAAGTAATACACTTTGAATGCCATCCTGCCAACAGGCTAGCAAACATTCACATACAAAGATGGTGTAAGGACTCTAAATACAGCTTCTGTAATAAAATACAGAGATCTGAGAACCAATGCTAAACACAGCAAATTCCTCTAGTTTCCAGCTTACTGTTCTGTCTACCTGCTAGAACATCCCAGACAAATTATTTGCCAAAAACATGACATTGCATTCCTCCCTCTCCAGTGGAGAGCAAGTGATCATGGAAGAGACCAAAGCTCTCATGAAACATAGTAATCTGCACAGGCTCTGCCTTCAGGAAGTTTTGAGGTTACACATAACACTTCTGTGATTCAATGTCTCATTTGAAAGTAAGACCATGAACTTCTTGGAACATCCTTTCTTCTGCTGCAGCACCAGAGATGAGGCTATTCCCAACACCATTTTAGTTTTTTTCCTGCATTGCAGCCTTTCCTGCATTCAGCTTCTAAAGCTCACCAATTTTTTGTCTATGCATCATAATGACCCGCTCTTTTGTCCATTCCTCTGCTCTCCTCCTGTCCAACCTTCTCCAAATAGTGGAAAGGCTGGTAGCTCATTTCTAGTTGGCAGGTTTGCTCTTTCTAGGTCTAGCCTCAGTCAGTTTGTACTGGGGTGACTAGAGAGGTGAAAGTGGTCCCTCAAAGTCCCTTACTAAGGAACCTTCAGGCAACGCATCAGGCAGGAATTGTTGCCAAAGCATCAAGTGACTTCAGAGAACTGCTGAAGCTTGGTATGTTCCTGTCGGATTTTCTCTGCTCTTTCCCAGACTATAGGAGGATAGCATACTGCTAACACCTACTCACAAGTATTCCAGAGGGATAGACAGGAGACAAAACTAGGAAGAAAACGCTCCAGTCCCCAAAGCTGATTCTGTTTATCTTAAAATAATCAAGACCTTGTAAGTCAAGTAAGAATAACACCTCGCTAAACTTTCTATGCCTACTGCATACAGGGGTGCAGGGGGAACGTATCCCGGCAAAGCATTTTAAATTGAAAATGTTTATAGCAGACCAAGTCAATCTCTTACCTGAGGTATAATTGAAATTTTCTTTCGCAAGTCATGGAGCCCTAGCTCTGACGTCAAGTACTTATCAATCCAAATCCTTCCTTCGGGTTCCGCCAAGCGAAAGAGGGCTGCTATCAGAGAGCTTTTCCCAGCTCCGGTTCTTCCCACTATTCCAACCTACAGAGCAAGCCAAGCTTGTACAATTAAACCATAAGCTTTTCAGGATAAATTAATATGTCAAGCAACAGTTTTACAACATCACAAGATTTATAGTAGAACAAACACGAAATAAAACTTCTTTATAATTAACATTTTTTCAAGAGGAAAAAACCTCCCCCCAAATCAGTTTGGATTCAGGTGACATTTGGATACCCAGCAATTTCTTGGATCATATGCAAAGGTGAAGGATTTTCTCTGTTTTATTGTGTAAACAAGATAAAGTGGCTTGGTGTATAGAGTAATGTGATTGAAGGCTGCTAATTTTTATACTAAACCTGGTTTGCTGGGTGATGTTAGGCAAATCATTTCAGGCATGCACCTACTTCTCAATCCAAAAAAGAACTCCCATAAAGCACTGTATGAGCAGTATTCCCATTTTAAATAACTGAGGCTGATTTTGGTTAGTATGGTTAAGGTGAAGTACCTCAAAGTAGTCAAAGTAGCCAAAATAAAGCCAAAACTAGCAGGATTATAAACTGTATTCATGCTTCAGCCAGCTTCAACAGAGAGGACAGAAGTATTGAAACTACAAGGCCATGTGAGCAAGCTGCAATTCCTTTCCAAACAGGAGAAACAGTGAATAATAAAATCACAGTGATTCAGGCTTCTATATGTTCCCAAATAAAAATCAGAAGCTGTATGCAATGTGAAAAAATAATGCTTTCAGAAAAAAGTGGTAGAGAAAACGCAAAATATGGGATTGCTAAGTTTAGTGACAAGGAGTTAAGACCTACGAATATTTCATATGAAACCAACAGTTGGGAGAAAGCAGGCCCACTAATAAATGAGAGGAGACATGTAATTAGTGGTGATTAAATACTACCTTGAACAGCAAACACTTTTTTTTTTAATATGTTGTCTTCAGGTAAAGGATTCTTAGAGAAAACAATGTACAGTAATCAATTATATCAGAGAAGGTGATGGGAGTAACCCTCTACACAGATCTGATCTGGCAGGATTTGTTATTTCCTGCACTCAGTTCTAATCGCTGCATTTCCAGAAAGAAATCAACACACTGGAAAGAGTTCAGAGAAGTGCAACATAAAATTAATATGGGTTGGAGATACTGATTTGATGAGGAAGGATTTATGAGGATTAAACATGTACAATATAGCCTGGCGAAGTGATTGGAGTGCAGAAGGGAGGAAGAAACGTGGAAACCTTCACGAGTATACGTACAGACACCAGAGGGCAATTACCCACTGCCTGAGACTCAGATGTATGCAGTAATGACTGCTGGAATGAAATTAAGCACAGGAAACATTACATCGAAGAGCAAGGAGAAACTTTCTAACAGTCAGAGACGCTAAGCTCAAAGCAGCAGTGCCCACATTGGATCAAAAAATACACAAAACACTAAAAAAGTATACTGCAAGGAGCAACTTACGCTGCATAATCTAAAAGGTATTTTCTACTTCTGTTTTCTGATTCAACAATTTCATCCAACAATTCATTATTGTACTATTGTATATAGACTAATTAACATTTATACAGCACTTATAATTAAAGATACAGCCTAATTTAAGCAAATCTGTTACAATAAATGATAAAATGCCTAGTATTCTAAATTATATCAGTGAAACAAAGGAAAACCAGTTCTGAATAGTTACACTATAGCTCGGAAAGAAAATGCTGAATGGAGAACACAGACACCCAGACTTGTGAAAACAAAAGTTCAATTGTTTCTCTGTAAATGTCAGTGATATAAAGTATTGTATTAAGGATATAAAGAAAAAACATTAAAAATACATTGATACTTAAAATAAAAATGCAGCTGCTCTGCATATTGTCAAAATCCCACTTTCAGTTTGGCATCAAATGAAAGGACTATGCTCTTCAGTATTTAGAGGAATCTATTTGTATTTTTGGTCTAACTGACTACAGGCTGCTGAAAATTGACATGAATTGGAAACAGCTCTCAGTACACACATCTATTTATTTTTTAATACATTGTATTCTTCAGAGGCCCACGTTCATAGCCAGTGCAAATACAGCAATGGTCTGCAAATGGAAGTCCCAGACACCTAACAGGAATCACATGGTCAGGATTTTGTTGCCCGATGCAAGCCATGTGCATACACAGGAGTACACCTGCTACGCTGGGCTCATCGTTACTCAAGCATCACTCGTACTTCAAATAGAGCTGCACAAAAAACGAGAGTGAGATTTACAGCATGTCAGCTACGCCACTGAAACTGCCCATGTCTTTGTTATCCCTCAGGCAACCTCCCTTTCGTGCTACGCTGTGAGAGTATTTACGTGAACAGCTGCCATGCCGTAAATCTAGACCCTCACCCTCCTAACTTTGTCATGTAGCCATACCCTCAGATTTAGGATCTGTCAGGACAAGGTGCATTTAACAATATATTAGTCCATAAGCATTCATAAGCACCCTAAAACAAAGATAGTGGTGTTTCAAACCCAAGGCTGCACATGCTAACCTTCTCCTGCTGCAGCTATAGTAACTGAAGAGGTTAATCACAGCCAGCTGCTGGCAGAGCTCCTGACCTGAGCGTTCCCTGGTCCGTCTCTGGCAGACTATGCTACGTGAGCAAAGATGGTTAAGAAAGAGGATCCCTCCTAGCTTAACACTGAGACAAGCAGATCAAAAGACACCCTAACCCACGAGTGATCTGCTAAGTAATCACCTCCTCCATTCTTAGTGTACCTACAGCTTCCCAAACTAGGTGCTGGGTTGGCTACAAGAAAAACTACAAACACGGCAGAAGTTTAAACTCGTTCATTCTGCCAGTGGCACTGCAGCCACCAGAAGTCTGTGTGAGCGAGGGGCCTAAACGGGCATAAGAGCTCTCACTGACAGCCACATGGGCAGAATCCCTAGCGGATCTGGAAACCTGGTTCTGAAGAGACCCTTCTCCATAATTAAAACCAATATAAGGAGCACAGATGCTTGGGAGATTTATTTTACACAGTGGCAGTCTGCTGCAGTATTGTGCAAAACATCATAGAAAACAAATACGAAGTTCTTGGCAATAGTTTCAAGCTGGGCAAATTCACTTCAGGATGACAAAACCACAGCATAACCACTCAGCAAAAATAAATACCCCCAGTCATCCGTCCCCCTCCTGCCCCCACCAAGGACTGAGTCATACACTGTTAATATCTCTTGCTTCCGTTTTTTATTTTATTTTATTTCTGTCTCTCACTAAAAAATGTAAATCATCTTGTCTGCTATTACACTGGAGTGATATATAACAGCTAAAGAGATGGCCCATAGGCAAGAAATAAACATCCCTTTTGCTCTTCTTCTTAAAGACCATTTTTAACTCACCCATACCTAATTCCATGAGATCATCTCCATGCAGCAAAGTTGGGCTGAATTCTGGTAACATGCACGTTATTAAAAAGGTCCACTTGAGCAATGAAACAGGTTTGGGACTGAATGGAAAAGCATGTTACAAATGAGGCCAGGGCAATGATTGCAGAGAGTTGAACCAGCCTCCTAGGGAAGATATCCTAATCAAAAAAGTACATGTGCATTTGAAATGTAGCAAACTACGAATTGACACTGCAAGGCTCTAATTTAATTTTGTCTGGGGGGGAGACCTTCCCTGCAGCACTCTTTCAGTTGCGATGGTGTCAAAATTGAGGAGGAAGAGTCAAATTTGCAGAGGAGGAAGAATTTTATTTCTATGTTTCTTTTGGCTACCAATCTAATTAATGGCAACAGTTAATTGGATTGATAGCCGAAAGGAACTGAAATAAAATCCCCAATTCTAAACTTATGCAACTGATTTGTATTTCTTTCTTCTCTCTTCCATTTGGGGCTCTGTGCAAGAGTGTGTACATTCCTTATTTTCAACTGCCTCTGCTCACCTTGTGTGTTGACACCCTTTGTTCCATTTATGTTCCCTCTACTGAATCCCCAGTTTCCTAATGCAGCTCCACTTGCTTTGGATTTGAACAAACATTTTGGGCTTAGTCTGTATTTTGAGTATCTGCCACTTTCTGACGAAACCCAGATTTTATCAGAAAATTATCGAATGTATTTAACCCTTTGTTTTGACAGACAGAAATGTCATGTTCCCAGACACATTTATGCTACATTTACAGGAAATAAACACGCTCTAACTTTTGCTATTAAATATGACTATGGCTTATTTTTTAGAAGAACACTTACTAATTTCCTAACATCCATATATTTTAATGTGTTTTTATCACACAGCTTCTTGTCAACTTATCATCTTTGCTTAATGAACAGCCAAAGACAGCCATGTACATACCTTTTCTTTTGGTTTAATTAAAACAGATAAATGTCTTAACACCAAAGGTCCATCTAGACTGTAAGTGAAGTTAACATTTTCAAATGCTATCATTCCTTGGCTTGGCCATTCAGGTGGCGGATGCTTGTTGGTCTCCCAAGGAGCTTCTTTTTCAAGTTCTGTGTATTCCATTACTCTTTCTACTGATATCATCTAAGGGGAGGAAAGAAGACATATATACATAAACTTCAGCTTATTGCATACATTGCAAATATTGCATGCATATATATGTGTGCGTGTGTGTATTTCTACTACAAAGATCCAATGCAAATTATTCCAGAGTTTTTCTTTTAAGCACAGATAAGAGTATTTGGTACCATCCATACTTACTTCACACAATTGAAAAAGTGGAAAGAATGCATCTCACGTCCTCCTACAGACACAAATCTATCACGATACATAAATCCATACATAAGCACATTTCTAATCAGTGGGTTTAATTACAAATCTAAGCATGTGCATAAGTATTAAGAAATTTAAACTATGAGAGTTGTCTGTCAGTCTTGGCTAAGACGACACCATTTCATTGTGTGCTGGGAAGACAAAGCTAGAAATGAAACTGCCATATGAGCTACAGGCGGACCCACGATAGCTACCAGCATCAAGTTACTGGCTTCATCATCCCTTGTTTTGTCCTCATCATTACCACACTCACCCCCAGCAAATTTTTTAAATACGTTTGTCACAAGCAACCCCACAATCCAAGATAGCTGTCACCATATTATTAGTGGCTTATATGCAATAAAACTTGTTTTCCTATATATTTTATGCCAGATATGAAAGAAACTGCAATATTTGCTGACACCTCTAATCTTACGGGAAGGAAAAGATTCAGAAGTTGCACTATCTAGACCCTTTTTTCCCCTTGGGCAAATAATAAAAATTCTGTTTAGGCTCCAGTGCACATCCTTGCCCATACATCTTCTCAATACAATTAATTTTATTTAACTAGATCCGCTCATAGATGGATTCTGGAAAAAAAAAATCATAAAGATATCCAGTAGGCTTATCTTGCCTGGAGTGGCTTTCAGGGCAGAGGTTACCAGGCAGCAAGTTCTCTGACCTCATTGCCACCTACCCTTTCCACATTACAAAATAAGCTCCAAGGAAAAACATACAAGGAAGGAGTGACAGAGTAGAATGGAGAGGAAATGTTCTTGCCTCCCCCAAACGTAGTCAGCCTTCAATAACAAGGGATTTTTGATGGATGTCCACCTGTCAAAGAAGTTGATGCTAATCATAGCTCCATAAATGATCAACATTCGACATCAAAGCCAGCTTAGTGAATGGCAAGCCTTTCTCCTCCAAAGTATTTCTGAATCACAGCCTCCAAGAGAGTAACTCACTACATAAGAGAGTCCCACAGGTTGACACTTCCAAAACTTCCCAACTGGTATGAAAAAACCTGAAAGCTTTCTTCCCATTTCTCACCGAGGTCTGTCACCACTAGTTTATTCATGTCTGAAAAATGCTCTGAAGAAGCAATACGCTAGACAAAAAAATACAAATCTAACACTATTATTAATTTTATCTGTTATTAAACATGGCTTTGTAACTTCTACAAAAGGACTACATGTATTTCCTAGACTACGGTCAGCAAATCATAATTACAAGTAACCTTCAGTTGTCAACACAACACAAAAACCCCAAGGTTTATGCTTAGTATGTTCTTTTTATAGTCTTTTTTTCTTATATATTAACTTAAAAAAGTAAATAGGCAAACTAGAACATGTTAGTAAGTATTGTAAATTGGTGGAAGGCGTTTTACTTTATATATTTTGGAAAACACACAATCCTCTCAACTGAATATAAACAAATACTTGCAAATATTTGTTAACTTACAACAAATAAAGAAGATATAAGCCTTTACAACAAATTAACAGGACCCTAAAAAATGCCAGAAGGGATATAAATCAGATTTTTAAATGCAATAAGAAATAATAATAAATTAAAAATCCCAAATCTAAAAAAATAATTTAAAAAAATCTTACTTATAGAGAGGGATTAATTTGTAATTTTAGTGAGTTGCAATGCAATTGTCTCCTTTCTGCTGTAAAGGGAGATCATAAAGCCTCCCTTACTATGAATGGAGAGAGACAGTCACTGGGCACAATTCATCTCAATAGACATTCAAAATCAGTCAGACAAATTATACCCTAGAAGAGGCTATTCTTCTTTACAGACTGTAAGTGGTGCCTCAATCGCTTGCTAAGGTATTAATGTCCTAAGTTAATTAAGAAGAATCCCATCCTTAAGGCCTCATGTCAGAACCACAAAAAGGAACCAAGAGGTGAAAAGGAAGAAATAAACGTTACCAGGTTTTCAACTTCAGCACTTTGTCTAACACCCCACTGGAATGTTCCCATGAGGGTGATTGCATAGGATAGCGCCAAACCAACCTGCCCCGCATTCAAAGCTGCAGAACAAAGGAAAAAGAGAATCACATAGGTATACTGGTAATTACACAAAATTCTAGTTAACTTCCCTTTCATGAGGTTACTTACATGATGGAAGCATCACAGCCAGAATGTTGTTTGGTTACACTGTACTTGCCATCTGTGCAATGAGTAGCTCCAGGCAGAACAGCTACTTGCTGCATTTTTTTTGGTACATTTTGGAAATTGTCTGTATATTTGAAAAGATAATCCCAATTCTCCTTGGCCTGGCGTTTTATTTAAAAACTGAGGTTCGGTCTCAAGACTTGTCAGGGTCATCCCTATCTTGCTGAGCATTAGTAACTTTTCACTTTTTTCTAAGGGAATTAAATCAGGCCCTAAACCTAAGCAAAAAATGAGCATAAAATGATTTCAAAATAAGTTACAAACATTTACATAAACTTTGTACTCTTGTAAGTGATCAGATAAAGTAACAGGACAGAATATTTCTTCCCCTGTTTAGATAAGCATTTATTGTGTTCAGTGGGTCTACTCTCATAAAATAAATGAATTCTGTCTGCCCCAATATTAAGCATGATTGTCCTCTGACTTACTTGAACTTTATCCTAGCATAGATCTATTGACTTCAAGAGAGCTACTCCTTATCCAGAGGCAAGGAAAGATTCAGGACTATTGTTTTGACTTGTCTTTTTGCACTCTAATAACATCAAACCTAACTCAAAATTTTGAGTGTTGAGCCGCACAGTGTTCAAATTTTAAAACACACATGCATATACAGAACTTATCCAAAGGAAAAAGAAAAGAAACAAAACCAGCAAATTAGCACTAATTTTCATGTCCAAGATAATTACTTCTTCCTTCATATTTTAGATGACTATCTCATTCTAGTACATCTAACCCAATTACATCCTGGATGATGCATACACTAATGACAGTTCATGAGTGACAGTGAACATAAAATGTGTTATTACAAGGCGATTTTCTTTCTGGAACTGGCCTATCCTGCTGATCCAAGATATTAGAATAGTATCCCTAGGAATTTTAGCTTGCCTTTTGGCCTACTGTGTCATGTGTAGAAAGGAAAAAAGTTGTTAAGAAGCAGCTCTGTGGGTGTTTCAATATGAAAAGCAAAGCCCTGTAGGCCCAAAAAAGAAAGGCAAAGGTGAGGAAAAAGAAAAAGATTTATTTGTTGTTATTGCTCTGAAAGCCAGAATCTCAAAAGTGAAGACTACAGATCTGCAAGTTTGTTTGCACATTTGGGGATGATGGTAGATGCATGCCTAAGCCCGGAAGATGTCTGAACTGCCTCCAGTATTTGCAGGAAAGCAGATACAGCCCCAATGCCCTAGACTGAGGAAGAGATCATGATCTAGAAAGAAATATTTAACTTAATTACAGTCCTTAAACAATTAGAAACAGCAAACTATGAAAAAGAATTAAAGATTACTATACATGGTAATTACTGGGTGAACTTTTTCTAACATCTGTACTTACTCTTGGCGAGAAGCAGGGAACCAAAAGCAACCACTATAACAAAAATGGCACAGATGGCATCCAGACGCACAGCAAACCACCTCGAGGTCGTCAAAAATAGAAACCAGGCCTCTAAAGTGTATTTTACAGAGACATAAGAACAGTGGATTATTAGAAAACTAAGCTGCGTAATTATTATTAAATTAATTCACATTGATATTATAAGTTGTTAAAAAAAACCCCAAACATTGCCATCTTCAAGTGCATGTCTGTATGGACCGATGACGATCAGAATATTTTCCAGTTTTCCTGAAATGGCCTAACCTAGTTTTCACACCAATAGCAACTACAGCTATTATAACAAACAGGAATAGGAAGAAAAACAGTCAAGGCCTGAAACATTATCCATTTATTTAAAATGGAAGCCTTTTTTTAACTCTAGTGGACTCGGGAGTCTTACACAAAAAGCAGAAGTACAACTACATTTGCTGTAGCTGGACTACCGACTACAGGCTTTTAGCTAGAACATAGCACAACACAACTGTCAGAGCCAAGTCTTTAGAAGGCAGCTGCAGCTGGTTAAGCTCCCATAAGAGCTACTCAATACAGCCTGTGGAGCTCCAGAGCTATCCAATTGACTAAAAGCACATATCTACTTTTGGAGAAGCTCACAGGTGGACATCTCCACTGGGCACTCACATCCAGGTGTCCACAATTTGGTGCTAAATTCCACGCCAGATAGATATGCTACAGTACAAGATACAGGAGACAGCAGGAAAAGACATTGCAATACAGAAGGCAAAGTGTTTGAATTCAGGGCCAAAAACAGAAGTCAAGTAGCCATAACAAAGTATGGCATTATTTATTGCTTAGGCTGCAGTCACATGAATTGTTCCAGCTGCTAACAAGTCACAGCAGAAGGTTACCATTCCAACCCTTTCTGCATTGCTTGTCGTTACTCCATGCTAAAGATCCATGCTGTTTCCCTGTTCCTTAGCCCAGTGCTGGGACAGAGTCAAGCTAAAAAAATCCTCCCTTTTTTAAAAAAAGGGAGGAGGTAAGTCTGGTTTTGAGCCAGATCATATTGGGTAGTCAGATTACGGAGTGATCAAATCAACAATTCGGCCAACAGAACTCCATGTAACTTCTGGAGGGCAGCAGAGGAAAAGAGCGAGGATGACAAGAGGGAGCCAGGTAAGGTCCAGAGCTGGTTACTTCTTAGCCCCTTTTACATTAACTCTAACTGCATATGCCTGACCACACATTTAGCAGCTGGTTTCATTAAACAAGACATTTGATATGGTCTAATGGACAGTCATACACCCAGGCACAACGGAACGACGTATGCAGAAGAGAGCGTCGCACCAAGTCACAAACCTAGTTCCAGAAATTTAATTCACCGGGATAATCTAGGTACCTCTCTGAAACCCAGGAGCCGAGTGTCCCTGGAAACAGTCTATGGCAGCCTCCTGGTGACATGAAAGGTCATTTCTGGTGCAATAGTGTACTTGTAAGACCAGGAAATTGGACACTTTTTCAGCTTCAAGGTTTTACTCCATTGATCCCTTTGTCCAGGAAGGTGTGCTAAACTGCCAGCTTGAGATGGGTCATTCTGCAACCTCCCTATGTAACCGGGGCCACTGTGCATGCAGGAAGGAATATGGCAATCATGGGGACCAACAAAGGCTTATCATGGTGTAACTTCTGATGACTCATGAGCTTGCTTATAGAGATGCTGCACTGGCAGGAAGGAAACTTAGGTTTGGTCAAACCTCAGCATGCCTTTTAGATGTTTTCTATCTAAAGATTTTTTAATATCAAATTCATAGGCATCCTGAAAGAGGGTTCGAAGCGAGTATCCTGTTTCCCAGGCTTAGCCCTAAATATAGGAGGATACCACTCCAGCCAAAAGTGCTAAACAAAACCACTGCTGATTGGGAGAGCTTTCCGTGATGCAGGAAAGAATTTAAAACTCTTTGGGAGACTTAAGAACCCAGGACTCCAACTTTGTGAGACAGTATGAAAGGTATGCTCTTCTATTGGCTATTGCTTGCACACATTTAGTATCAAAGAATTATTTGGGGTGGAAGCAACCTCAGGAGGTCTCTCGTTCAACCTCCTGCTCAAAGCAGGGTCATCTCTGAGGTCAGACCATGTTGCTCCATGCTTTATGCAGTTCAAGTCTTGAAAATCTCCATGGATGGAGCCTGCACAACGTCTCTGGGCAAGCTGTTCCACTGCTTGACTGTCCTCATGGTGAAAAAGTTTCTCCTTGTATCCAGGTTAAACCTCTCTTGTTTTCAACTTATATCCATTTTCTTGCTCCTCCCACTACGTATCACTGTGAAGGGCCTGACATCCTTGCAGGTACTGGAAGGCAGCTATTAAATCCTCTGTAAGCCTTCTCTTCTGCGAGTTGAACAAGCCCAGTTTCTTCAGCCTCTCCTCACAGTGAGACCTCTCTTGTTAGTGCCCTGACCATGTTAATGGCCCCTCCACTGAACTCACTCCAGTTTGTTAGTGTTTCCTGTATCTGGGAGTCCAAAACTGGATGCAGTATTCCAGATGTGGGCTAACAAGTGCTGAGGGGGATAATCACTTCCCTCCTTCCACTGGCTGTGCTCCTGTTAATACAGCCCAGATGTTGTTGGCCGCCTTTGCTGCCCAGGCACACTGCTGGCTCATATTCCATCCGAGGGCCAAAAACCACACACACACAAAGCAAGCTGGTATACCCCAAATACTCTGGTGGGAAAGACCCCAAGATGAAGCATGTAGGTACACAAAAGACTGCGACTATAAGCGCTGAAGCTTGATCTCAAAAGCAGGTTCCTGAACTGCCCAGGAGTGGCGTTACTGAGAGTTTTGTTAGAGACGCATAAAATCAACTGGAAAATAGTGTGTTTATGTTCCTTAGATCTGACCTTAAAACACAAGAAAATATTTCTTTTAAAGGTCACGGTCCTCTTTGTATAGGGAAACTTTTATATGCAGTTTATCGACTAAAGATGTCTTTTAATACAAAGCTTAAAAAACAACTGTGTGTTCCCTCACTATCAGCTACTGTAAAATTGATTTGGTCAGATAACTAGTGACTTGAAAATATTAAGAAATGGGGAATTCAAAGCTAGAGGTCCCTCCCTGGAAGATATGTTTCCCCGGTCACAAGTTACTGGGCTGAACATGGAGGTCAGAGTGTAGGATTCAACTGGCTGTGATAAACTGTACTTCAGAAAAGATCAATTGGTCTGGTCTGAAACCTTGGAAGGCTATAAATTACAAAAAAGCCATAGAATATATTTGTATGTCTTATGACAGAGAAAATTCAAGATCTTGCCTAACAAACACAAAATTGCAAACTTGCATTCTGCTGCATCTTGAAATACATTGCAAAAGAGAACATTTTAATTGACAGAAGGTGAAGAATCACAAACCTGAATTATATTACTTATGCTTGCAGAATACTAATGTTTTACACCTTCTGGTCATGTTAATACTGTATATTAGATTTGAGCCCTGAAAGCTGCTCAAAGTAAAAAAGAAGTGAGATCTATGAAACTTTTCCAAGATGATTTATATTAATCATCTCTGCCCACTCCTAGCACGCTACTTAATATTAAATGCTTCATAATATAGCTTGTTTCTCCCTCTCTCTCTTTTTAAAGATGGAATCCAGGAAAATGTCAAAAATGGTTCTTTAAATATTCTTATCAGGCATACTTTAAAATGTTTATCTTAGACATTGTTAAAATATATGCGTGGGTATCTCAAATTATATTACAGCCCAAAGTAAACTCTCAAAATCTAGATGGATAATAACTTTTTTTGTTCTAATAGAGAAATTTTACCCTAAAGAGACAAATGCACATCTCCTACTGATTTTAATGTACATTATATACATGTCGCTGAGGGCATAAGATATCTCCCTCCTACAGAGCAAAGTAATTGATTTTTAACGTCAATTCATCACAAACCTGAGTGGAGGTCTTGGTGTGCATCAAATAATTTTTGAAATCTTTCCTCTGCTTTCAAAGCCCGAATAGTCCAAAGTCCCTGGAGAGATGACGACAAGTGGGAGAACACTGGACTTCGAGCTACAAAGGGAAATGAGAGTAACTTAGCAATAGCTGAAGGACTACATTTAATTCTTTTTGTACCACACTAATCTTTAATCCTACTACTTTATATTTAACCATACAAGTTACAGTACTGCATCCTTTTAGAAGAAATACATGATATCTTTAACCAAAGTCCTCTTACTCTGAATCAGTCAGACAGCCAGGCAGATTAATTTATACAAAAATGTCTTACGTTTTAACAATAGCTGTCACTGAAAAAATTCTTTGAGCTTTGTTAATGACATGAGGCACCCGTGTTTGTTATTCATAATGCTTAACATTTCATATCATAGTCAAGCTAAAGTCAGGCACAAGAGTCAGATTAGGTCAGAAACACCATTAGTATGTGCATACAAGGTCCCAAAGACTAGGAACTTAGCATGTTCTTAACTAGCTTTACTTACAGATAGTTAAACTGACATACCTAATGTTTATCATTACGCAAAACAGGAGTTAAGCATGTAATTCACTAGTTGAGAACCAAGGCAATAAGGAAGTTATTTGCATAGCAAAAGAAAAAATCTTTGATGGATTGTCTATAAAATACTAGTATTTCACATAATAATAAGCAGGGTTCAAACTAACATTAAGTACCGCCAAACTACATACTTGTGGATTCTAGACGTTTAATATCTCTTGAAGTGTCTAAGAAATATCGTCGAAGAAAAATGAAAAGAATAAATAGTGGAATTAAGGGGATGAGTATCCAAGGAATCACTGCCACAGCCACAGCCACCACACCAAAAATCTGTAGGAGAGTCTGCAACACAATAGAAACAAAATAAAAAACTCTTTGCCAGAAGAATTTAATTTAGAACAAGTATAAAACTATTTAACACTACTGAAACACTTAAATATTTAAACATAACTACCAAATTTAAGAGCGGATGCATTGTATAACATATAAGTGACATTTATTTTTAAGCAACTTGAATAAATTCCAGTAATACCTAATTTGACTAATTGTGCAGTTTATGGTTCTCTTCTGCATTATTTGTTCTTTAAGAAATGTCTTTACAAAACTGGTTGACTGAACATTAGTGTCTTACTTTGTGGACTATTCTGTGACTGCTGTAACAAAATAACAGATGATGAATGAAACAGACAACTAATCTTTAATGGATCCGAGCTATATGGTGAAGCAGGGATATGTTTTTTCACTCCAGGGAAAAAGAAACTGGTGAAAGGCTGACTTTCAGGAGAAAGACTCGACAGCTGGAAGACGAACTTTCAACATAGACTTGTAACTTTTTTCCTAAAAACAACTTTGTCCCATTTAAAAAGAAAACCCAGTATCAGAGGAGGTGAGCTTTCTCTTCCCAAAGGATTGCGTTGGGAAAGTTACAAATAAGACGAAAACATCAAACACTGCAAGGAGAAGTGTCACAAGAAGGTTATTTTACCAGGTTTACTTAAGAGTACGAGATGAACAGCTGGGCTAAACCTGAATGTACTCTTAGAAAACTAGATATAATGTGGAATGAACCTTTGTTGCTTAGGACAGTGGATCTCGGCCCAACTTTCTGAATTAAAATCTCACATTTCCTGCAGACCACTTGACATCCTTCACATCAAACTTCCAGTTTGAATACACTATGAAAAGCAGTATCTGCACACAAATTTCTTTCAGAACACCAGCTGTGTATGCATGTATGCATGCCAGGCATACTGAAATCAGGGTATGTCCATTTGCTCCTTAAAAAAGGGAAAAAAACCCGCATATAAAAAGAAACCCACCCTGGACAAAAAACAGACAACTGAAATTCTAGCTCAACCCAAAATTCCTGTATTATTTTCATAAAAAAATTCCTTAGAAATGACAATATTTTCTAAAATGTCTCCATTTTATGGACTGTAGAGGAGCCACCTTCATCATCACATACAACGCACATGTAGATTCCAGCTCAGCTTTGTGGCTGCCTGATTTTTGGATGCCAAACATGCATTAGCGACCAGTGGGTCCTGAGAATGTGTGTCTTACAGCAAAAAGGCTTCCGTCCCTTTATCTATGCATCGAGTTGGAAATGGTAAGCAACACGTCAGCGAAGGTTGAATATCAGAGAGCTACCTGGATTTTCAAGCGCTTTCAATGGAAGTGCCTATGAAACATTGCATTTCCTGTTGCGCTTCTGGTAGCCCACACACACACTGTCCAAAGCCAAAACCCAGCACAACCTTTCCCCCTATATCTGTTTTTTCTTGAGGCTTCTCTGACTTTACCCTAATTTCACCTGACCAAACAGCAAACCCACACACCTTACGTGTTACAACTGCATGAGTCAGCACAATTCAGTCTTCGGCTCTAGGCAAGATCTTAGCTCATGATAGAAGATTTATCACCGTAACAGCCTTGCATCTCACAGATCCTGAAAGCACATTATAGGGTCTCATAAATCTATTATGGAAAATAGCTATAGGGTAGGTATGGGGTAGGAACTCCGAAGGAAGCTGCGTTACCACTACACTGCTCATCTGTGGGTTAAGGTGTTGACGGCATGATATTGTTTGACCTTCTAGATACATACAGTAGATTGCAAACATTTTACCTAGATTTCATCACGAGGAGGTAAGGTGGCAGCGAGAGTGCATGGTATTTCACTCGGATCAATTATGCACAGGGTTATGTCAGCACAAAGCAAAACAAAGCACCCTGACTCCTCACCAGCGCTGCCGTCAGCCCTTCTTTACCTTCTACTTCTCTGGCGTTCTTTAAAACCCTGTAAGCGTGTTTCATTTTTATCATGGGATGAGAAGGGAAACAAAGATTCCTGACCTTGTCCAAACTTTCTCCTGTCTAGGTCACTGTTTTTCCCAGTACTGCTCCTTGCCTCTGCCAAGCCTGTCAGCCATCCACACGCTAGCTAGCTTCTAAAGGCTCCCTCACCTCCATCCTCAACGGCAAACGGAGATTGAAGTCTGTTCCTTCCTTCTGACAACTCACTCCTAAATCTGCTTTATATGCCTGCTGCCTTCCCCTTCCCCTCCGCCACCTCCTAGACAGACACAAAAAAGTGTCTCTGAAGTACTTCTGCCTCCTCATACCATCAACTGCAAACCTGAAGTGAAGCGTTGAGGACAGCTGCTTCAATGAAAAGAATTCTGAGGAAAATAAAATGTTTCTTAATAAAAAATAAAAAAAGCCAAACTGAAGTTTTAGTGATGATAATCTACAATATCTTGCAAAGTGCCAGTGGGGGTGGGAGTGGGAGTAGAACTATTAGGATCCAGCTCATGTAAACAAAGCCTTGCTACGGCGAAAATACAGGGAAGAAAAAGATGGTTAGGATGACTAAAGTAAAAATCTGACACCGCCTTTGGAAGGAATTTCAGATGAGCCTGCACCACCTTATCATTATAAAAATTTATGATAGGGTGGATCAGTCATGTGTGTTGTTTTTTTTGAAAACCAAACTTGCATATAAATTAACTCTTAATGAAGTAGTCTGAAAGCCAGACACAACCATTTGCAGACTGTAATCATATAGTTACTGCGTGAGGTAAGGCAAAGGTTTTAGTTCCCAAGTTTCACAAGAGACAACTAACCTCTTCAGCTGGAGACTGCCCCAACTTCTAGTAGACTCACTGCATGCAAGCAGGAGGACCCAAGATAATCCGTAGGCTGACGATAACGCGAGCAGGCTGGCTGCTCTCCTCTCTGGAGACAAGCAGTGAGCTAGGTGTTCAGTTTGCACAGTAAAAAACACTCAGGACTGCATATCTAGATCTTGTCTAGCAGAATCAGCTTACAACCGAAAATTGTAAGCATGGAAGATTTCCCTACGAAATATGAAAGAAATATGGCCTACAAAATCAGCATCTTTTACCATATTTCTTAATTTTAGCATTTAAAAGTCTTCTGTAATGACCATGCAGAAAACAACAGCCAAATTTAAAAAAATGGGAGCTGATTAATTACATTTTATAGCTATTGCAAAGTCTTGGAAACAAGGCCACCTTACACAAAAGACAACAGATGCACAGGCTACCGAGACTGAAAAGACCTGGACGGAGAAATCTAATTTGCTTCCAAAGGGAGCCATACTGTCCAATGTCCACCTCCAAATTTGCTTCAGTTTCCCTGAAGAAAGAAGAATCTCCCGCTCTCAGACTGCACGTACTCTATCCCTGGAGTACAGAAAAGCACGTGCTGTTTTTGGTGGAGTCATCCTCTTGCTTGCAAGAGTCCCGAGAGATTTCCCTCATGCTTTGGTCAAGTCACTCCATTCACTGTGGCTTATTTTTCCTCAAGAAATCTCCTGTCTTACTATCTCACTAGAGCAAGCATACCTTCCATAACCCTCTGGGAAAGTGAATGCTCTGATCAGCACATTCACTTGCGAAACATGTGCTTTCCCCTTCATCTTCTGATGACCTACATATTCGTAATTCTTATAGGTGCTGAGAGTGATATCCTAGAGTTTCTATCTCAAACAGGTCTTGATCTAGGAAGAACAAGGTATTTCTGTACTGCAACCACACAATAGAAAAGCATTTAATGTGAAGTAAAGAAACAATAAGAAAAAACCCATAAAAATCTGGAAAAACATGGGAATTACACACTGTAAGCCATACATAAATCACAAGCTATAAGCTTTTCCCCTTCTTGCAGAAACTATACCATTTATATAATGTTGCAGAACTTATGACAAATTGTAAGCCATTTGAAGTCATTTAATAAAGTTGACAGGACAAAAATGCAAAAGCAAAATTTAGAGACTTCAAGATATCTCTTACGAATGTCTACCCTTCCATCCTATAGATCACTGCCATTCCGTATCAGTTATACCCTGAGCTCCATATTTCATGTTTGGCTCAAGTACTTCTTTGAAAAAGGCACCCAGCCTTCATGTAGAGATGTTTTGAACCCCTCAGGTCTGCCGACACTTTGTTCCAGTGGGTAGGTACCCTCACTTCTTAGAGTCCTTTATCTCCTTGTGAAAGTACCTATTAATTGCCTCTGTCTTCTCTCTAATGAGCTCAACAGTCAGATCTTTCACGTCTTCCATTTCCTTCCATCATTCAAAAAGAAATTTTGCCTTTTTTTTTTTTTTTAAAATGGATCTTACAATTTATTTCAGCATCTCTTATAAAATACATGCATAAGGGGTACCATGCACGTGTGTCTGTGTAAGTGCCTAGTGTGATGCCAAGCTGGGTTGGCTATGATATAGCAGCTATACCATAGGAACCACACCATTCTGGACTTGCAGCTGGTGACCTGGTAGGATCCCTAATGAACGAGTGGAGCCCAAGGGATGGGATTTGAGACTCAGAAACCTGAACGTGGGAGTCTACATGTGACCTGCACAGCAAAGCTCCTGTCCTATTTGGCTGAGTTTAGAAAGTCATTCAGCTAACCTTTAAGTGGATACCTAGTTACCCTATGGTTGAATGTTTCTCAAGAGTCTACTAACTGTATTGACTAGATGCCCTCTGACTACAGCAAAGCAAGCATCTAAAGCCCAGCAAGCAGATACCTAAATTTTGATGACTGAATCTTCAGTCAAAGCCCACCCAAGAACTGTGGTGTTCCAGGACCTGTTTTACCAATATTTAAGCAGCAGTCAAACACACCTCTCTCCCAGACTCCTACTCCCTGGACCCCAGTATGCACTCCCAAGGATTATATTAGCCCATGGACACTGCCAAGAAGCCACACTAATTTAATAATAGCAATGGTGCATATCCTGCATTTCAAGTTTGCAACCTTAACTGCATTAACTTAGGGCACTCTCAGTCAGGCTGTGCTGTCTGAAGTAAAGCCAGGTCAAGAAACTACAAAACCCCACTC